AAAAGAAGAGTGACTTTTTAAAGGCAGACAGAGAAAATGGACTTTAGATTTTATAAAACATAACAAAGAGTTAGGACCATCCCTCTTCCGAGAGGTGGACCAAAGTCAATCTGTAACACACAGACAGTTAAGTTTCCCTTCTTCTTCACCTTCACTTCTACTTATACACAACCCACTTCAACTAGTGAGATATCCTAGGAAGGAAGAGAACGGGAGAGAAGCGGCCTTTTCTGCAAACGTCTCAGGACAAGAAAACCTGACCAAACCAGAGCCATTGCACCACAGAGTGATAAATCCCAGCCGACTTCAGAGCCAGTGGCCGGACCTTCGTCCCTCCAACGGTGATAGGTGACTTTTGAGGAGACATCCCACCTCTGTCACTGGAGCATCTCAGGCCTTGCTGGTATCATTTTAAGCAGTTGTGGAACATTCTGACTGCTCATTCTGGTGAGAGAGACCCTTTAATGCCTTTCTGGTGATCATACATCACAATAATCTTGCTTTACACACACTACAGCTCATTTAGACACAATTTTAACTACTTCACAAACGGAACCAGTCCAAAAAATCTGCCTTTTTTAAAGTTTCACTGATTTGAATAATCAAGTAGACCTTTGATACAAAGCTATTTGTTATTCGTTTGTTTGTTATGCATAATCTTCATCAGATATATCACAGGTTATTATTTTTGTAATAAAATGCATAAAATCAACTAAATTTGTGATTATTTTGGCATATCTGTGTGTATTAACTGATTTGATGCCCTTTAAACACGAGAAAAGAATTCACGTTTCAGTTTACATTTAATTTGGGGTTAGAGACTGATTTTTCCTCTGAAAACAGGTGGTGCCCATACACACGAGTTTATTTGCATAATAAATGCATATCTTATGAACTTGGCTCATAACTGATAATTTACAATATATATCCAACCCCATATCCCTCCACACCATATTATTTTACATTATTAGTGTTTAGCGTGTATCTTAAATCCTTATATAATGTTTATTTTTATACTTAATTTTTTTGCTATTTTTTTGGTGCAACTAAAACTTGAGTATGCATTTTCATTCCACCTCATGTACCACATGATGCAAATGACAATAAAGAACCTTGAAGTACACTTTGAACAGTCTCTTCGTGCAACTGTTATTGCGTCAGTAAAATAATCACTGAATGAAAGCAGATAGAAGAACAATGCAGTCAAATGTGCCAGGTTAAGAGCAAAGTGTTAAGTGGTGACGAGCTGAGCGTTTTTTTTTTTTGTTTGTTTTTTATAAAAAAAATCTGAGTTTATTTTACTAACTTGTACATTAAAAATTAAAGTAAAAAACACAGAGTAATCTCATATTTTGACAGCTGTCATGCCTGTTGTTCAGAGACGGTGTGCTCAACACAACCTGTGACGAGTCTCACAATTAGCAGAAAACACATTGAGTGCCAGGGCTATTTAACTGCATTACTCATGGGACCACGGTTACTGAAAGCCAACAAGTCAGTGGCTGGATATATAGCAATGAAATTCAATTTAATTTACAATATATATAATCTAATTTTTTTATTTTTTTTTACTTATCAGCAGGTGAACTGATTTGTATAGACCTGTTATAGTTCAGCTATAAATTAAAACATGATCTAATGGAGATATTTATCATTTCAGTTTTTTTTATATTTTGATTTTAAAATCTAGCTTTACTTAAAATCAACTCATTGGCGCGTCGTACTGAGCTCACCTGTGACCTGCCATGAGCTGCCAGTTGAGCAGCTGAAGCTGAACAGTAGATTTCTGACCAGGAACATGCTCCCGTTATATTTTTACACCGATGATTCAGTGAGATGGGTTCATACAGTCTGAAGAAGACGTAAAGGTTTTTGTTGTGCTGATAAATGTTTCCGAAACTCTTAACTTGAGACAGTTTAACTTGTGTTGTTTCAAGTTACATATTGACATTAATAACAAGAAACGAGGTGTGAGGGGAACTTTAAAAGGGCGCTTGTATATCATGCGGGTAGGATCATGAAGGGTTGAACAGCACAACGTTTTTTTCCCGGCAATTCAAGTTTTTACTTTAGCTTTTAAATACGGTTTAATTTAGCAAATGGTTAAGAAAGGGTGTATAAATCCAGCAAGCACAGTAGTTTGTCTCATGACAGAATTTATAGATTTCCATCCATCCATCCATCCATTTTCTTTACCCGTTTATTCCATTTTGGGTCACGGGGGTCGCCGGTGCCCATGTCCAGCAATCACTGTGCGAGGGGCGGGGTACACCCTGGACGGGTCGCAAGTCCATCACAGGGCCACATAGAGACAAACGAGACAAAAAACATTCACTCTCCCACTCACACCTAGGGACAATTTAGACTTACCAATTAGCCTAACATGCATGTTTTTGGTCCGTGGGAGGAAACCGGAGTACCCGGAGAAAACCCACGCATGCACGGAGAGAACATGCAAACTCCACCCAGAAAGGCCCCCGGACCAGGATTTGAACCAGGGACCTGCTCGCTGAGAGGCAGCAGCTCTACCAGTTGCACCACCGTGCTGCCATTTATAGATTTCATATTCCTTTATTTTATTCTGAGTACTACAGGAAAGAATTAAACCTTTTCCTGTTTGGTAACTAATCTGTAGTTGGGTTGGTTTGTAAATTCAATTCAGTTTATTTATATAGTCCCAAGTCACAACAGAAGTCATTTCAGGACACTGTACAGAAACATTCATATACATTAAAAAGGCCAATTAGTGAAAGTTATTTATCTAAGGAAACCAGCAGATTGAGCTGAATCTTCACTTCGTCATATTCTTCCATCCTGAGCAAGCACAAAGGCAACTGTGGAAAGGAAAAACTCTTTTGAACAGGAAGAAACCTCCAGCAGAACCAGGCTCAGGATGAGCGGCCATCTGCTTCAATCAGCTGAGGTTTGAGAGGACACGAAGGAGAAACGGACACTGAATGGCAGGTTCAGGTGTACGTCCTATTGGAGGAAAGGCTAAAAGCACATGTTAAGGATAGAAATACTAACAGGTAGAGTAGAGCCAGTAAAAACGGCAGCAAAGTGAGGAAATATGGTCAATTTGTCCTCCAGCAATCTAAGCCTATAGCAGCATAACCAAGGGATAGATCAGGAAACCCAAGCTGAAAACTAAGTGGGTTTCACAAGAGAGGAGCCTGATAACCGCAAGCTCTGCCTCTCGTTCTACTTTTGGAAACTCTAGGAACCACATGTAAACCTGCAGTCTGAGTGCAAAGTGCTCGGTTAGGGAAATATGGAACAATAAGATCGAAAGTTAGTATGCAACTACGGTTCTATGAATCCCGGATGACCGCCAGAGCTTCTCTGTCACTCAGAATCCTTGCATTCCGCGAGAAGATTCTGTAGGAGCAGAGCTGCGGATGACGTTGAGCTATATAGCCTCTGATTGGTCATCCGTGTCACACCTGTGACTCCGTTGGTATTATTACTCGGAACAGCGCATGCGCGAAGGGAACATTCAGTGCTTTCAGCACCGCCCTCTGGCGGTCAGGAGGGATGAAATAGAACTGTAATATAAGATGGAGCTAGGTTGTTGAGAGCTTTGTAGGTTAGAGGTAAGATTTTGAATTATTTTCTGATTTCAGTTAATACAAATAAAATCAAAAACTTTTTTCAAGTTTTTATTCACCAAACTTTTTTTAAGAGCTCCCTAGAAGACAACAATAAATCAGTGATTTAATCTCATTGAATGATTATGCTTTTTAATAATTAAGATGTTTTCTTCTTCTTGAGATCAAAGCAGAAGGTAGTGTAGTTACTTAAAAGTCCGAATCGTTTGTGTTTTATTCTGATAGAGAATACTTTTTATACTAAATCTTACAGATGTTTATTTGCCTGCACATTATATCTGTTCTGTGTGTGGAATGTGACCTGAAATTGTTACGTCAGTAATTTAAAAACACAGATAAGTATAGCCATCAAGTGACAATATCAGGATGATGGGATCATGGGACTGTAGGAAAACTGGCTTTCTTTGGTTCTGTTGGGGAGGGTGGGACTTGTAAAAGGACCATCTTAAAAAGGAGTGGCATGTGTGCCCCCATCATGAGTTCCCCTCTGCCCCTCCAGGGTACTGCAGTGGCCAGGAATAACTTTAAGAGCACATGCTGGGTTTGATTTATATATGGAGTCGACAGAGCTGGGAGCACATCCTGGTCACAGAGCGGACTGTCGCTGACTCAGCAAACTATATTTTTGTCATTTTTTTTCCAAGTAACTTCTCCGTTTCTTTTTTGTTCACGTTACATTCTGTACTGTACGTAACTTCTGCTTGTGAGGATTTACGCAAAGCAGCTCGATTTGTGACGTCCCGTTCTAAGAGCTCAGTCTGTTCTCTCTTTAGGTTCCACTTTCTGCTCAAAACAAGGCTCCATGGTTGCAAACATTCAACATTCAGTACAGAAATTAGCCTCTTATCTCACCAGTCTTCAACCGTCACAGCCCAGTGAGAAACCACCTTAAAGCTCAACTCAACTACTCATTAAATTACTGTCTGCCAGGCAAACAGTCAGTGCTGTTCTGATTTTACAAGTGGTTTTGATATAGGTTGCTGTTAATACAGCTGTAAAACGACAACATTCCTCCATCTCCATTTCTTTTCTTTTGAAAATGACCCGAGTTTACTTGGAGGCACAACCGTGAGCTGGTGTTTGCAATTTTATGTAGCCACTGGGAGCAGCAGTCCTGACGGAACATGTTGGAATTTTTGGGTGTGAGGAATAAAAGACGATTCCAATAATAAACGTTGCATACCAGCAATCTGTATTGCTTGTTCTGCCTTGTAGGTTTAAGTGAGGCTTTATAAACTATACTAACACAGTGGCTGGATAACTACAGAATAAATGTTGCTTGTTACTACTTGCTAAACTATTCAACCTTTCTTCGTTCTCGTTAAAATTAAGCTCTGTTAGGCCTCTACGTTGCTGTTGCTTTTACTCATAATGTTGTTTTTTCTGCTGCAGGGCGGCAACAACGCTGGACACACAGTGGTGGTCGACTCAGTTGAGTATGACTTTCACCTCCTGCCCAGCGGCATCATCAACCCCAAAGTCACGGCCTTCATCGGTGCGTTAACACAAACACTCTTTTTATGCAGTGCACACACGTTTACTCACTCACAAGACTCTCCTGGGTTATTTTCTGTGTCCTGATCAAGAATACTTTTAGTCTTCATTGTTGCTGCTACAGAATCAGTTTTAAAGACCGCTGCGTTGCGTGTGATCAGTTTGACTCTGTTCCAGGCTGCAGCCCAGTCCACATCCATTCATCTGCACTAACTTCATTTGCTAATGGAGCTCTAACTCTTTCTTTAAGCCTCCCAAACACTCCCTGCATGCGCACTTTAACAGACAACAGTTGCTGCTTAATCACATCTTTGCTATTTTTGACTCATTTGTGGGTTCTAATGCTCAGGGAGGTTTGCAAATGGGGTTTTTCTAACGCAACAATCACTTAAATTAATGTTTCCATGTTTTACATTTGCCCCACCTATATGTATTTATGCGTTTTGTTCATGCTGCCAAAGCTTCACTCAGCTATTTTCTGTTTGACAAAGAGACTGCTTTGCTCCTTGTTGTGTTTTATAGAAAGGAATGGGGTTACTTTCAGTTCTGGCAATAGGCTTTGATATCATTATCACCTACACATACATTTAAAGCTTAAACATCTATTCTTTAATGCTATTTTTGTGTATACAGATATATGTTTAGCTCTGAATATATCTCAGTACAATCACTGCTATTATGTCTCAGTTTTCATAAAATGTGGTAAATTCAGGGTCCCCAGTTAATGAATCATTGATAATCCCCTCAATTTTTTCTTTTACTTCTATCCACAGGATGGCGTTTTCACTTATTTTGAAGTCAACATTTACCTGAATACACCTTCTCAAATTACACACTCTTTTTTTTTTTTTTTTTTTTTTTAAAGTCACAAATTAGCCATTAAACTAAATGCACTAAAAACGCACAATTAAATGTATCGCAGCTAGGTAAAAGCTACTACATAAATCAACAACAATTGAAACTTGATGAAAAACTATTTAAAGTGTATTTGTTTTAATTCAGGAAAATGTTCCATTCATTTGCACGGAGACAAGACAAAAATGTGCTACAGCCAGCCACTAGAGGGCGCTTGTCTTTTGAGGCTTCAACTTCCAGCTTCTGGTCTAGTCCTAATATATGTGAATGGGACAGATACTTTAAAATCAGTGATATTCCTTGAACTTTGTTTTCATATTTTATTATAATTTCCTATCTACCTACCTATTAAGATGGTAAACTATTTTCATGAGCTGATCCCTAAATTTACATCAGACATGGGTGGAGCTGGTCATGGCAGTGACATGAAGTTGGGACAAGATGCGTTTGTCTCAAACCCAGTAATTATATTGGCAACATCCCAGCCACAGTTTCTCTTTCTGAGTCAGTGTCTTCACTTCACCTGTAATGCTTTGAGCAGATGCATGAGTCAGGAACAACAGCTGTTTTTGGCAACACCATTAATCAGTAAAATGAATCAAACTCAAGTAAAATTATTATTGCAAACACGAAACGGTACAAATATTAGAGAATTACCTTTCTGTCTATATTACCTTACGCTGTACATTCTTTAGCGTCTTGTAAGCTACGTCTAAATTTCAAATAAACATTCAATAGACACTTGATATAGACTTTAAGTTTGTATATTTATTCAAAGTAATTACCTCACCTTTTCAATTCAATAAAGCTTGATTTAAAGCCAAGTAGTCAGATGTTGCATCACTCTTGAGAACAGGCATCAATCAGGCCACCTTCGCTGGATACCATTACCATAATTCCCAGACTATTGTACTGTTGAGCGCACCTGGTTATAAACCCACTAAATAAATAAAAAAATAATAATAATGTGCATATGTATACCACACTTTTCTATAAGTCGCAGGTGTCCATGTTGTCACATGAGATATTTACACAGAAAGATTTTTTAAAACTTTTAATTAATTTATTTTATTTTTCTGAACAGTGCCGGTAACATGTCTGTTTTAAAAAAAAAAAAATAATAAATAACTACAGTAGCCTACCAGGAAGTCTTTGATCGCTATCTTCACCCTCCTCCTGCGCACTGCGCGAGAGGAAGGAGGATGGAGGACCGCTTGTGCTGTCATTTTAAATGCACGATTCACACTTATTTCGAGTGGCTGCAAATACGTCATGTGAGAGACGTGTATTGGATTGCTATGTGAGCGCCCGGGTGTGACGAGGATAAATGCTTTGGCAGCATGAAGCTCGTTGGCCTGTCGCGGGGTTCAAAGAGTGTGAAAAGAGTAGTGGCTTATAGTCCAGAAATTACAATACTGTTTAGCAGCCTAATTATTAGGCTGGCATGTCTGTCTCAGTCACACCCTTTAGTTAAGATTTAATTTGAAATTAGACTTCAGGTAGCTAAAGATAAACAACTCTTTTCACAAGGGAAGTTCCAACAAGTGCTAGTAGGCTGTTTTATTAGTGACCGCTTTAAAAACCGTATATTAAATGTAGCCTTACTAAACAAACAAGGCAGATATTTGAGATATTAAAGAGTTTTAAAAATGTTTTGTTTTTTTTACTTGATGTCAGGACTTTACATAAACATCTGATTTGATTTGAAAGCTGAAAAATGATGCGGATGGTTTTACGTGAGTGAAGCTGTTGATTAAAAGACGAGACACTTTTTCAGTGGGGAAATCAAGACGTCACTACACCATGTGCGAAATCCCAGACAACTGTGAACAGCTGTTATTAAACTTGTTAACGCCTAAATAAAACTGTAACTATAATTCTGTTTTTATCAGAAACTAAACGTTTACACTCCATCTTTTTCCCTCAGGTAATGGTGTTGTGATCCATCTTCCAGGCCTGTTTGAAGAGGCAGAAAAGAACCAGCGCAAAGGAAATGGTGAGCATTTGTTTTTAGGCGAGAACAAAACGGGTTCTGTTTTAAACAGTGAAAATTCTCAAAGCGTACCTCTGTGTGCTTAGGTCTAAAAGACTGGGAGAAACGGCTGATCATCTCAGACAGAGCACATATAGGTAAGTCCTCTCAGGCCTGTACTCGGGTTTTAATCTGTGTGAAAGCTTGAGCGAACGCCTGAAGAAATGTGTGTGTTCTGGGATGGGTGAGCCCTGCTTTCTCTGAAGTGTGTGAGTGTGTGTGTCCCCTCTCTCCCTCCTCCGCAGTGTTCGACTTCCACCAAGCGGTTGATGGCGTTCAGGAACAGCAGAGGCAAGAGCAGGCGGGCAAGAAGTAAGAAACGTGTTGCTTCAAAAAAATGGTTGAAACGCACCCGCATCACGACACGCATGCATCACGATCACAATCAAGGACGGAAAAACTAAATCGTGCAGTTTTTGTTTGAAATAGATGTATTTTGAATCTTCTTCACATGTATATAATTTATTGCCCCATGCTCAACGGGACATAATTGTGTTTTTTTTGTTGTGTGATACTTGGTTTGTCTTGTGAGTTTTTGTAAAATCTTTGTAGTTTTCACATCATTGTAGGGGTTTAATGTTGATATCACAAAGCTCACAACTGTAAAATGCATATTAGATATTGTAGGTGGTTAAATGTTACATTGCAATGTTCTAATTTTTAGTCTTTACCTTAAAGCAGCTTTCTGACTTTACTTTTTTCTCATAGTTAAAGGTACTCGTTGCAATGTTTGACGTCTGGTCAAAAAATAAGCAAGGAACAAAAATCTTTTTTTTTGGACACGTGTCCTTAAAGTAAATATTTTTAATCACAATTTGTAGCTGGAGCACCACTTGCATGTGTGTACTTACGGAAACGTATGAAGTACCTGAAACTATGTCAACAATTATGTCGTCCACGGAAGAGCTGTTTAAGATTTGAGAAATCCGACAATTCTGATTTAATAGTATGTACTGTATTTACACTCAGGCTTGTTAAGTAAAGTATTCAGGTAACTTTTCAAACAATCTAAACTGAAATGGACTTTCAAATGTGGTGTATTTCACCCTTTTTTTCTAGATAATATATTCAATGTTTAACATGTAACTGACCATGGCCAGCCTGCTGTAGGTCAGTAATGTTACTCAAGCTTCTACTCGGTTCGAGTGCTGTGTTTACGTGGAGTGCGTACCCACATTTCAGAATTGCATTTAAATATATTTGGAAAATTGATGGAGTAAATTCTTTCAAACTGCACTATTTGGTCCAAGATGGCATGTTTGTTTTATTTTATATTTTGCATTGAGTATCTTTAACTAAATCTCTTTCTTAATCTCAAAATTTGATGTTTTCTTTACTGTGGTACGCAGATGCATATTTTTTGAAAAGTTAAATGTCTTGGCTGTTACAGAGATAATGGCAGTCATATTCTCCTACTGGAAACACAGCTTCACAAATGTCTGAAGTAATCTTTTGTAATTATAGTATTTTCTTGTTTTCAGCCAGGCACACACCCTCAATAAAAGCAGTTAGATTAGAAGACAGGAAACAAATACTGTATTTTCCGCCGTAGACGTTGCACCTTTATAAGTCACATCAGTCCAAATATGTCTAATAAAGTGGAAAAAACCATAAATATGTCGCTTCGCCATATACATTGCATCTATTATGCATCACCGCTGACACGCCGCGTTTGTTACGTGTCACCCGGAAATGTGGGCCGAACATGGAAATATTGGCCGGTGTTGTGTCAAAAATCAATTGGCTGCCAAATGGCGGCCACAGGAGCATGCACGGGAGGACTTTAACAAGAATTTAACAAGACTAACACTTAAAAACAATTATTTGTTGGCTAAAAATTATAATAAAGGTGTGTCTCAGTCTATAGAGAATGATTTACATAATGTCACACACACCCCTACCTACCTATCTATATATTTCTTTATTTATTTGTTTATTTATTATTGTAAAAATAAAAAAAACCACCAACTTTAGAATGTAATTGTGTGTAATAGATCCAACAATGTTCAGTCGGGTCATCTGGACATTTCCTTTTTTTTTTTTGTTGAGAAAAAAAAAAAAAGGAAATGTCCAGATGACCCGACTGAACATTGTTGGATTACTTTACCTGGATTATTGATCATGAACTTTGATGTGTGTAATAGAATTAAAAAGCAGAAAGTTTAGTGTTCTCCAGGAAATTAACTATTTTAGAGCGGCAAGTTGATTTTTTTTTTTGCTGTTTCTGAAATAACAACACAAAAAACTATTACCCGGTAATTAACTTATTACTATAGGCAAGGCAAACGTATCGTGATAACTAAGGTGGCAAAGTACTATATTCACTAACAAAGCAACATGAAGCAATATAAATTATATTATACATATTATATAAAGTAAACAAACATCTTTTATGAGGCACACGGAGAGCATGACTTGGCTTATTAGCTTTAACAGCACACTACATGCAACGTAACTTCTGCATGACTAAAACATACATTAACATGATGTTAACATCCAGTCTAAATGATATAACATCATTAGGCTCACCTTCTGTCATCTACACACAGCAGTAAACCAGGAAACCAACAACAGATGCTCAAATAAAAAAAGCTATATATGTATTGGGAGAGAAAAAGACTTTACTGCAGCAGCAGTGAACGTTACACAGAACGGTGCGTCAGAACATCCATGGTGCATTCAAAAACATAGGATTCATGAAATTAAGAAAGAAAACAAGCTACAGTCAAAGAGAACTTAGCTCAGCAAGCAAACTAACCACATAAACATTGTGTGCTTTCTAACAAGAATTGTATCAAAATCATAAAATTAAAATAAATCCAATTCAACTTAGGGGGCCCCCTAGTGGCCTGGAGGCCCTAAGCAGCTGCTTATGACGCTTATGCCTCCGGCCGACTCTGAATACCTGATCAAGAATTTTCCATATCTGTACCGATACCAATATCAGATCGGTGCATCTCTAGTGCCAACCCAGTTCAAGATGGCTGCCACAGCTAATAAACGTTGGCTAACAGTCCATTGTGTCACAAAAGTAAAAAACTAACCAGAAATCTACCTGCTTTTTGCAAGAACACATTTAACTCGGGCACTTTAAACCCACACGACGATTGGAGGCTGCACGTTTTAAACGGACTAAAAGTGAAACCACAGAGGATCTTTGTCTGTTTCTGCTCTGTAGTTTGCATGGTGGGTGAATAAATGTCGCTGTGCTGAGCCCTCTTTTTAACAGAAACAACTTATTGAATGTACCTGTTGACATGTTAAAAGAAAACGTGTATTTAGTTTAAATTTTTTGAATAAATCATTCTCTTGTCAGTTACAAAAACTGTTACTATAGTGTGAGATATTTTATGTCTGAGTGACTGATGTTGTGCGTTAGATTATTTTTGTCACATCTTCGCGTCACAGCTGATTCAGAGGTGCCATGATCAAAAGAAAACATTTTTAACTTAAATTAACACATACTGTTGTTTAGTATAAATTTTATCAATGTATTGTGGACGAGGAGTTAATTTCACAGAATGTGTGAAATACTTGTTTACTAAATGAACATTGTAAATATTGTTTTATCGTCTCCTCCTCCTCCCCCCCCCTCGGCCCTCCACAGCCTCGGGACAACAAAGAAGGGGATCGGTCCCGTTTACTCTGCCAAAGCAGCACGAAGTGGACTCAGGATCTGTGATTTGTTGGCTGACTTCAATCAGTTCTCAGAAAGGTCTGTTCCAGAAAAACTGTATTAAATAACTTTGCATTTTAATACACCTGCTTTGTTCTAAGCAACAAGTTACTAATTAAGAGTTACGTTTGGATATTTTTGCTTCAACTAGTGAACTTAGCTGCAGCTGCACATAGCTCATTTTTAGTTTTACTTACTGTTTAAAGAACACGAGTTCTTTTAGGGTTTGGATTTAATGGATGTGTTAGTAAATTATTTTATTGTTCCCTGTCACAGAGAGACGAGGGGGAATTGGAAATACCCTCTCTCTGTTCAGCTGTGAATGTTTTAAGCATAACTTTCAATTTGATGTAAAATTGCATCTAGGCGAAAGAAAGGTCCCTTTCAAAGACTGGGTTGCCATTTAAAAATCCAAGATGGCTGCCACCATAAACATCCATGCGTGTTGTGAGCATAACTTAAAAAATAAGTAAGGTACTGACTTCCTTTTCGGTGTCAATTTCAATTTATTTATGTAACACATAGAAACAGCAAGAGTTGACCAAAGTGCTTTACAATTTAGTCCAATTAAAATAAAAACAAAAAGGACAAGAAAATACTTGTCACTAAGGAAACACAGGAAGGTTAACAATAAAATACAACAACAATAAAATTCAGCTGTAACTGGCTCTCAAACTCTGCCTGGATCAAACACCAGGGAAAAAAGACGAGTCGAGCAAAGATTTAAAAGTCTCAACAGTTAACTGAGATCAGATAAACAATTCCACAGTTTTGGAGCAGCAACCGCAAAAGCCCAATCACCTCTGGATTTCAGTTTAGATCTGGGGAAATCTAAATTGGTAGACCAGAGTGATCCTATGGCAAGTACGTGTTAAGAAGATCACAAAAAGATGATAGGAGCAGAGCTTTTAAAACTTTAAAAACAAGCAGTAAACTCTTAAAATCTATCCAGATGTGGACAGAAAGTCAGCGGAGAGAAGCCAGGACCGAGGTTATACGTTCATGTTTTTTACTTCCTGTTTAAAGATGAGCTGCTGTGTTCTGGATGGTTTGTAAGATGTAAAGATGATTTATCTAAACCAACATACAGAGCATTACAATGGTCCAAATGAGAAGTAATAAAAGTGTGAATCACCTTTTCAAGTTCCCTGAAAGGGAGATATGACTTCACCTTAGCAATGCGTCTTAGTTGGAAGGAACTGGATTTCACAGCTGCATGTATCTGTTTGTCTAATTTAAAAGCACCATCAAAAATAACCCCCAGATTCCTGACAGTGGAGTGAAAGTTATATTTTCTAAAAGCAACGGCAGCATGTAAAGATTACAAAGAGGAGCCGCAGACAAAGAACATTCCCCTAAAATGAACAGAAAAACTCCTGTCAGTCAAGTAGGATTCAAACCTGGATAAATATGGTCCTTTGATACCAACCACCTCAAGATGTTCTGCTCCACTGCATCAAAGGCTGCAGAAAGGTCTAAAAGCTCTAAAACAGCAGAGCTTCCTGAATCATCCGTTCAACAAAAGGTAATTAAAACCTCTTAAAAGGGCTGTCTCAGTGCTCTGGCCTGATTTAAAACCTGACTGGAATTTTTCCACAAATGTTGTTGGCAGTTAAAAATCTCTTAAGTTGATTAAAAACAACTTTCTGTAAAAAAATTTGACAGAAAAGGCAGTTTAGAAATAGGTCTATACATTGGTGCTTGAACTTATGTCAAACCTTTAGAGTTTTCTATATGTCTGCGTAAATATGAACTAAAACATCAGATTTTCACTTTTTTTTCCAACTATCCACATTCTTAAACAAAGTGAAACTCCTACCCACTTGAATATCTTGCACCAAAAACATTAAGGTTTACGTGTATTCTCTCTATTCAGTTACTGTCCAGAAAAACACTCTGCTCAAAAACTACAAACATTCACTATACAAGTCCCTCAGCTATGGAGGACATCTGCATACTGCTCTTTACATGAAAAGCAATGAGAAAGTATGTTTAAGCCAAATAAAATGTAACGTCAGTCTTTGTAAATTACCGAATACACCGATGGTGTAACATTCCTCAAAAGATTGCATATCACCCATCACCTTTCATGACACAGTTTTAGATCATCTATTTTAGTCAAACCTTGAAAACAACTGTATTGGCTTTCTCGTGGAATTTTATGATATCACCCTCAGCACATGGTAAATGATTCTACTACCACATCAAATTTTAGCTTAAGAGCTATAACATTTAAAAACACCTTATTGTCAGCTTTCAGTTTTCAGCAGTGGAGGATAATAGACTAAATTTGGCTAAAGTCCTGTGTTAGTAATGCGTCTGCTGCTCCGAAATCTGCATATACTTCAAGACACTAACCAACCAGGAATCATTCATCATTTTGTAAAATCAATAAAAAACAAAACCTCAGGTTAGAAAGTCCCCTTTCTCAACATAAACTCCTGAGAGTCATGTTCTTACATCAGGTCCTCTGCTTCATCATTCTTTGTTCTGTTCAACTTGGAACTTTTTGTCCTTTCTGGGGGAACTTGTTTCTAGAGGGGTTTTTTTTATTATTATTTTAATTTATTTTTCTATTTGTTAATGTTGGTATAAATACAAATAGCTTGGGAGAAAATAAATATGCTCCCTAAATGTATGTGATTTATTTAAAACCAAACTGGTTTACAGAGCAGATGGGGGAAAGTTATAACCTCCTTTGTGTGTCTAGAATCATCCTTCACAGGTAGTGATGTACCAGAATTGGTTATGATAATTTTTATTTCCCTGCAGTATGATTAATAAAATGTTGTTGGGAAATGTGTCTTGAAAGGAAACGAACCAGAGCTGACCACTGCTGCTTGTTGTAGGTATAAAGTTCTGGCCCAGCAGTACAAGGATATGTATCCAACACTGGAGATTGACATAGAGGGAGAGCTGGTTAAGTTAAAGGTAATGAATAGCATTAATAAAGTCATTAAGTTATAATTGTAATTTTGTAAGTAACAGTAAATGTTTTTCTGATCTAGGACTATGTGGAGCGGCTTAAGCCCATGGTGAGGGACGGTGTGTACTACATGTATGAAGCTCTTCACGGACCTCAGAAGAAAGTCCTGGTTGAGGGAGCCAACGCAGCACTACTGGACATAGACTTTGGTCAGTAAACCTGCATGTGTAATTTAAATAATTACACCATAAAATTACCTGTAATGTTTTTGCTAATGCGCTATTTTTGCATACATCAATTGGTTCGTCAGCAGCAATCTGATGATTTGGTCCTGATAATCTTAAGATTATTCATTGCTTTTTATGAAAGCCTGCATGGAGCTCAGATTAGGAGCAACGGTAAGTTAAATTGTTTCTGATGTGCACATTCACCAGTTTAAAACCACTGGGTGTCACCTGACTGCATGAGCACAAAGGCACCCGGTGTCAGCAGTCTGTCAGTCACTTCAGCAGAATTACAGTAAAGCTTCAATCCAGAAATGTTCTCATGAGAACTGGACAGTAGTGCTTTTCCTTTCAAATTACATACCAGACCCATGTTGCTGTACGAGAACACACGTGCATTACTGTGAACAATGACCACAATTAAAACTGGTATCAAAACATTTGTTTTACAATCACTGTTCCAAAAAGAATGGGACAATGTGTAAAATGAAAAGAAAAACCCTGAATGCAATTTTTTTTTTCCAATTAAATCTTTATTTATACAGGTTAGTCTCACTGAGCCTCGAGGACTCATTTACAAGAGGTAAATAAAGTTTTAAACAAAGAGCACAGACGAGGTACAAACAACAGTAGACAATCATAAAAAAGCATATAAATTGAAAAGTAAATGGAAGAAATTATATTACAACAAAAAAAAGAAACAAAAAACAGCTACATTATAAAGTGATGTAAAATACTAAAAACAGGAACATGTCTGTTGTTTAAAATCCCATAGAGAACTCAAGGTCGAGAGCTTCAGAACTTTTTGCCGGGTGTTCCAGGAAACGGGAGCGGAATAGGAGAAGGCCCTTTTGCCTACTTCAGTCCTCACTGAGGGAACACTGCATGTAATAATGTCCTGAGAGTGCACGCTGTAGCTGCACTCACAAAATGACATGTAGGAGGAGATGAAGAAGGCAACAGACCAAAAAGTGAAAGTTAAAAGATGAAAATGTACCAGTGTGAGAGTCTGCGTGAAGTTGATGATGACCAATTGACCAGTGAATACAGGGTGCAGAGATTGACTGCAGACATGTTCCTGTTTTTAGTTTTCTACATACGCTTTAGAATCTAGCTGTTTTTTTGTTACTTTTCTTTTTTTAGCCATCCTATTTGTTAAAAAAAAAAAATTGTATGACTTTTTATAACTGTTTATTGTTGTCGCTGTTGTCCATTGTTGTCGTCATTCTTTGTTGAAATCAGGTCTCTCTTGTAAATGAGTCCTCGAGGCTCAATGGGATTTACCTGTCTAAATAAAGGTTGAATGAATTGGTACGGTAGTTACAGCCAGTTATGAATCTTAGTGCATCATGATAGACAGTGTCCAACATCTGCAAGGTGCTTTCAGGAGCATTCATGTAAATAATGTCACTGTAGTCAATGGACAGGAGGAAAGTAGCAGATACAAGGTGTTTCCTAGTGTTCAAAGTTAGACGGGATCTATTTCTGAAAAAGAAACCCAGTTTTACTTTCAGTTTCTTTACTAAGTTTTCGACATGAGGCTTAAAATATAGATATGAATCGACCAAGATATCCAAGTATTTGTAAGAATCGACAAACTCAATAGGAACACCATTAGAAGATAAAATAGAAGGAAGGACTGCTGGAACCGACTTCCTGTTGGAAAACAACATCCGTTAGTTTTGTCAGCATTTAGCACAAGTTTAAGATGGAACAAATCTGACTGGATGATGTCAAAAGCGGACTGTAAAAGCCGGAAAACCTTAGCAACTGTTCTAGCTCGACAATAAACAACTGTGTCATCAGCATAGAAATGTGCATAGAAATGTAAGGATGTGTCAGGAATGATCTGACCTACATTACTTATGTAGATTGTGAAGATGGTGGGTCCTAAGACTGAACCTTGTGGTACACCATTGTTAACAGATAGCTGGAAGAAGTACCATTATGTTGAACACATTGTCTCTGGTCTTAGAGATAAATAGATTCACAATGATTTGCAAATCTCACAACCTATATTTTATTCACAGTGGAACACAGTAAACGTATCAAATGTTAAAATTAATTTATTGTACCATTTTTTTGGGGGGGTGGGGAGGGGGTAATTCTGAATTTTATATTGGAGACCCATCTCCGAACAGTGAGGACAGGGCCATGTCATGTTCCCACTGTGAAGCCTCCCTCTGTCCGTAAACGTCTTGGAACAGAGGAGAGCAGCTGCTGGAGCTTTTAGAGAGGACTGTTGTCATGTTCTTGTCCGATGTTGGAGTCTTGCTGTTCAACTGCTTTGGGTCTTGCTAGATGTTGGGTTTTTTTTCATGGCTCACCAAATGTTTTCGGTTTTTTAGAGGTCTGGACTGCAGGCAGCTCAGTTCAGCACCTGGACTCTTCTCCTTTAAAGCTACGCTGTTGTAAATGCAGTATGTTCTTTAGAATGGTCTTGCTGATATATGCAAAGCCTTTCCTGAAAAATATTGTCAGAGGATTTTGGTCAGAAGTTATACGAGTTATGGATATATTATCACTAGTGTTCTTTCCCTTTAAACAAACAATCAAGTTGTCTGTCAAAACACTCTCTTATCCTGCCCGTGCACTGTATCTGTGAAGGTCAGGAGAGCCATGAAAGACTACAGCTGGCATCAAGGACACCCACTGAAACCTTGTCAAGCTGATAAGGATATAAAAAGCAAGCGAACAATGCAGCACGTTGCAGATTATTGTGATCAGGCTTCAGGTGTATACATTTAATGCATATCAATGTGAACTGTTATATCTGGCCTTGCAAGTAAAATTGTGCCAGAAATAAATCCACCTGCCGTGTGAGTGTAGTTCATTTAAGTGAACATCATTTAAAGCGTTTTCCTCTAACAAATATATATTTCTTGCTTTCGAATAGTTTTCTGTATTTATGGTGCCTTTCCAGAAGTGTAAACTGTTCATTCTATGGGCATTAATGCACCCCCATACCGTCAGAGAGGCAGGCTTTTGAATTGTGCGCTCATAGCTTGCTCTTTAATATGGAAGAATGTGTAGTTTTTAAAAATGATTTCAAAACTTGGTTTGTCTGACCACTTGTTTTATTAAAATAAGCTGTAGTTAAGAGAAGATGGCAGGCTTTCTGGGTGGTGTTCTCATGTGGCTTCTCATTTGTAAGTTAGAGCTTTATTCTGTTGTTCCACTAGTTTTTGACACATTTTTCCAGAGACTGATAAACCTCTGCCCATATTTATATCTAAAATCATCATCCTCTCTAACATCGGTCTGTCTGTCTGTCTGTCTTATTCTATCTAGGATGGAAGTATGATAGATTTAGGTATGATAAATTAGAATAGATTTAGGTATGATAAATTAGAATAGATTTAGGTATGATAAATTAGAATAGATTTTGGTATGATAAATTTAGTAGATTTAGGACAGACGTGTATATACCATTAATAAAAGTTGATGTCACGTCAGCGACTCCATTACAATGTTACTGCTAGCACTTGAGTTGCTACAATGTCCATGCAAGTACTTGGGTTCAGCTTCATTTAAAATAAATTTGATTTTGTGAAAATTAAAATGTTCCTGTATGCTTTTGTGGTGGTGGGGGGGTGCGATGTCTCCAAAAAAAGTACTACATGTGTTTTGTATGCTCGTGAAAATGTTGAAAACTGTGACTCGCCCCTTGATATGAAGGCCTTTCAGGACTTTTGTCCTGTCTTTTTGAGATGTGAGGCTCCATAAAATTCAAAATTTCTTTATTTTTCCTACAAAAAATGGTACAATTTCTTCACTTGATCATTTGACATGTTTGCTGGGTTCCATTATGAATTAATTCATGAGATAAAATTATCGCATTCTGGTTTTGTTTGCACGTTACGCAATGTCCCAACTTTTTTGGATTGAGGTTGCATTTCTGTTGGGCACATTGTTTGTCTTTCTGAGTCACTGCACCTGACTGGAAAACATCTCAGTGGCAGCAAGTTTGTCAGATTTTAAGGTTTTAGGAACTTGAGAACATGTATGGAGCTGATGAACACCGCTGTTGCTGTAGATATCAGATCTGATTACAGGGAAACTGGACTTTAGACAAACGTCCTGCTTTGTTTTTAGATGCATATTAGTTTAGCCATTTCCTGATCTATGAACCCAAAGAATGACGGGTCTTCATGGCTGATTTCTATTACAGGGACATATCCATTTGTGACATCGTCCAACTGTACAGTGGGTGGGGTGTGCACTGGCCTCGGCATGCCTCCTCAGAACGTCGGAGAGGTTTATGGGGTCGTTAAAGCGTACACCACCAGAGTGGGCATCGGTGCCTTCCCCTCAGAGCAGTGCAACGTAAGAGGATACACGAATGCTTTAAACTGCGTTTGTTACAGAATAAAGAATGTTTAAAGAGACGAAAACTACCAAAATGTCTTATCTATTGATTTCTCCTGAAAATGTGTCATTTGTTGTCAAACATCCCCACCTAGTGGATATTTTTGTAAATCATCACCTTCATTCATTAAGCTTAATATACCCAACAACTCCAGACATGACTGAAACTAAAGTGAAGCTTTATCAACTGGGTATTTTTTTAGTTTAGATTTTTTTTTTATTATTCAGGAAAGTTGCAAGAAGTCTCCTGTTCTAGATGTTTGTTCCTTTCTTACTGTGATTAGGAGACTGGAGAGTTGCTTCAGACTCGAGGGAAGGAGGTTGGCGTGACCACAGGCAGGAAACGACGCTGTGGTTGGCTGGATCTGGTTCTCATCAAATATGCTCACATGATCAATGGCTTCACTGCGTACGTTCACTTCATCTGGTTCTTATTAATATTCTTGTGCATGCATCTTTTGCAGTTTGTTTTCTATTTGGGCAAGTCTTTGTGTTTTAAATAAGGTCAAGTTTTCAAAAATGTAGTTTTGTTGACTATTTAGATGGAAAGATCTAGTAAAAAGATAACTGTTAAGAATGTTCAAAAGGCATCAAACTGCAAAATATAATGGTTAGAGTAATTAAGTTTTAAGAAGGCAGTTAATATTAACAATTTTTTTTAAATCACCAACAATATTGATTTATTTGTTTCAAAGTGAACTCTATTTTCAGATTGGCTCTCACCAAACTTGACATACTCGATGTATTCTCCGAGATCAAAGTGGGTATAGCGTACAAAGTCGATGACGAAATTATACCTCATTTTCCAGGTGAGTCTGTAAAAGAATCAGGAATTTAAAATGTTTTTAGTGCTTTGATTTTTTTCCTCATCAGGTCTAGGTCAAAAATTAGACCAGATGTATTTCAGCGTTGTCAAACTGCATTTCCTGATCTACAACAGCTGCTTTGAATCTTTAAACACAGCTGTAGTTCCAAGCTGAAACATATTCATCTTTATTACGCAGTGCTGACCTACTGTGATTATTATTATTTTTTTTATATATATTATCTTCTGTTTAATTTGCGGCAGCCAATCAGGAGCTGTTGCAGCGTGTTGAGGTTGAGTACGAGACCCTGCCGGGTTGGAACAGCGACACGTCGGCTGCTAGGAGCTTCGAGGAGCTGCCTGACAAGGCTCAGAAATATGTTCACTTTATTGAAGAGCATGTGGGAGTGCCTGGTACGGTGACGCACAACGATTGATACATGAAAACTATACTTTTCTGTATCTAGAATCTGTGATTTTTTATAAATTTATTTTTTAGGTTTAAATGTAGCAAAAGTGTATAAATTCAAGTTTGCACTCAATTCTAGTATTTGAGGGTACGTTTCCATTTGTCCTGTTCAGGTCCAGCCAAAACATTTCCATCTGCTTTCCCTTAACTGTTTTAGCTTTAGCTTAACTCTTTAAGATTTTATGTATTAAACAAAAACACTGTTTTCTTGTCATTTCTTTTATGCACAGATATGCAGTAACGGGGTTTATTAATGAAAGGAGAAACTTTTCTCTCATGACTTTGAGTGTTTTTATATGAATAATTTACTAGTAGTTTTCTAATTAGAGCCCAGTGCAAGAACACAGATATTCGAGTTTAATAAAGTAAAATTTACTGTGCTGTATTTACAAAGTATATGTGATGTCACTAAACTCAAAAACATCATAATGTAGATGTTTGACACTGAGTCTCCTGTTGTGTGTAACATAGAGATAAAAGAAACCAGTCGATGTCCAAACCATTGTTTTACTTGTTCCACTTAAAATAAAATAAAAGTTATAAGATTAAACAATACTTCTTTTTTCCCCTTTAGTTAAATGGATCGGAGTGGGGAAGTCTCGAGAATCCATGATCCAGCTGTTCTAGACGGAGGAAGAAACACGAGGACCACGTACAGCAGTGAATCAAATGTACCTTTCACCCCCAGCTCCTCGCACACAACTGCCTTTCTCTGCTCTCGGCTGGAGACACGACCACCTCTGCTCTTCGTGTTTTACCATCGGACTGTCCCGTGGAACATACATCACACTTCATCACACTGACCACTGAGTTTGAAAGGTTTTCAGCATCCCCATTAAAATGTTTTCAACTTCGTAATAACAGCATCCATTTTAATTTGTCTGTTTAATGTTGTAAACATTTAATGCAGACAAACTGCGCAGCAGCTGCTTCAGATTTTAGAGGAAACGAGGGAACACTGATATATGATGTAGACTGTCTAAAAAAAAAAATGTCCCCCATGTTTGACTCAGACTTGGTTCGTGTGTTTTCATTCATTTCTGCTGTTTGAAATGATCTGTGCCAGTTCAGCACTTTATCTGCGTTATGTTTTATCTTCTGTCAGGTTTTCACAACATCCTGGTTCGGTAAAGGGATCCTTTCATTTTAAAATGCATCTTCTCATCTTTTTGATACCAGACTCGTGTCAACACTAACCTAAAAAAAAAGCCTTTTTTAATCTTGTATTAGTGTACGCTTCCACCGAATGCAGATAATGACAAGTTAACATGCATTGACCCATTACTGAGAAGTCTCAGTTCATTTAGCTGACATATTTCTACTTTTGTTTATTTTTATAGTCTTTGCACTTTTAGAATGAGGCTGTGTTAATGTGGGAGAAAGTGGTAACGTATGAACCGATAAATATAATTAGAAAGATTTGGCTGTCGCTGCCTTTGATTTGACAGATGTTTTGAGTTTGTACATTCTTAATTTTATAGTAATAAATTTAGCAGGTTATAACGGAGAGTTCTCCATTGTCCGTTGTTGAAGCAGTCACCCTGAGCTGTGGTGAGGTTGTTGGTGCATCTCGTGGCAGCCATCTTGAACCCAGTAGAGGTTACCCCAGGTGAAGGTCTGAAGGAAATGCTTCAAGCCTGGTTTGCTGGTAGGACTCCAGAGGTAGCTGAGGGCTAATGATGGGCTAAGTGGGCCGCAGCCCTGCATGTTGCAGAGGCTCAAGTGTGGGAGAAATTTGGTGAGGTCTACTCTTATTGACAAAATGTACATGATGTATTGTAAATGCTCTGTATAATAAATCTAAAAAGAGGTGGTGCACAAGGCTAAAATAATTATATGTAAATGTTTATACATCGCTGAAACTCATACCAGAAATTCATAGAAAAACTATAACTGGAAAACCCTAATGATGGCAGTGGTGTTAGTTCTTTTAAAGAAATGGTCACTTACTTTTTATGTATACGAATGTTTCTGTACAGTGCCCTGAGGTGACTTCTGTTGTAACTTGGGGCTATATAAATAAACAGAATTGAACTGAATTGAAATTTAGGATTTTTGTTTTGTTAAAAGCTAAAAAAAACAAAAAAAAAAACGCAAGGAGTTAGAAAGTAATTAATCATTGAAGCAAATATTGCATCATCACACCAGATTAAGTCGATTTCAATCAAAACGGAACTGCAGTCTGATAAAGAAACTTTTTAAAATTTAATCACATCTATGGGGTGCCGTTAAGTTACACAGTCAAAAATTAACAGCAATATTTTGGTTTATTTAGCCTTTAATAAGGAAAAAAGTATGTTTTATTTTTTTTTTCAAAGTCATATTTTCACCATGTTCAAAAATCAAATGCTTAACTTGCAAGTTAAATGTTTAGTTAGTAAACTAAATGTTTAGTTATAAAGTCAATATTTATTTTCAAAACTAAATATTTAATTTCCAAACTAAATAATTAATTTCTAATCTAAACATTTAATTCCTAAACTAAATATTTAATTTGCTAACTAAATATTTAGCTCTGACCTAAATATATATTTACAAACTAAACATTTAATTTCCAAAATATATATTTAATTTGTTACCTATACATTTACCTCCGTCCTAAATATTTAACTTGTTAGCTAAATATTTAACTTGTTAGCTAAATATTTAACTTGCAATTTATATATTTAGGTCAGACTAAATATTTAGCTTGTATGCAGATTCCTTGCCGAATAACGGAAGTTGACTTTCAAAATAAAGGCCAAACCCATGTGACTTAACATTCGGGCCGATCCGTGTCACCTGCAGACGCTTAGTAAATTTTATTTATGACTGATGTTCCAACCGGATAGACGGTTCATGTAAGTGCACTTTTCAATTCATCCCCAAAAGGGCTTCAAAACTGATAACTTGTTCTACTCACTAATTATAAATAATTTATCATATCTGCCATGATAAATCATTATTGATCATTTTTGTGTAGTCCTTAACATTAAGATGTGAGCAGGCAGTCTCACATATATGTAAATGTATTAGTAATAATATTATTATTACAGGTGAGCTGTGCAAATCGATGTATCAGACAAGTATAGGCCTTCGTGTCTCGGTCCCACTGAAGTAGCTCTCAGTCTCAAAAAGGTCGGTGACCCCTGGGTTTGAGCCTTGATGTGCCCTGGGTCGTTCCTAAACACCCTAAAGAATTTTATTTCATCTGAGGGTGACAAATGGTTACCCAGTTGTTTTAAAAAAATTAATAAACTTGCATGTAACAACAAAAATCAAACGTGTTCACGAGTGATGGTAGGCTGGAGCGAAAGATAGATCAGATCCTCAATAAGGAGGGCGTTGCTTCGGTTGGTTGTGGTGAAAAAAGTGCTGAGTCAAAAGGCAATTAAAGTGCCTGCTTTACCAGCCTGTCTACAGTCAAACTCTCACCTGTGGTCATGAGGTTTTGGATCATGAACTAAAGAACGAGATCCTGGATCCAAGCAGCTGAAACTAGTTTCCTTCGTTGGGTGGTTTGGTTCAGCCTTGGAGATTGGGTGAGGAGCTCCGTCATCCGGGGTGAGCTTGGAGTAGAGCCGTTGCTCCTCTGCATCGAAAGGAATCAGTTGAGGTGGTTGAGGTATCTGATTGGGATGATCTCTTTAGAGGTGTTTTGGGCAAGTCCCACTGGGGCGAGGCCCCGGAGTAAAGCCAGGACTTGTTGGAGGGATTGTGTATCTTCTCCTGGGAACACCTTGATGTCCCCAGGAGGAGCTGGAGAATGTTGTTGAGGAGAGGGATGGCAGGTTTTCTCTCCTGGACCTGTTGCCTCCGTGACCCAACTGTATTGTATTTATTTATTTATTTTAAATAAAAATTCATTCATTTATTCAACCTTTATTTAGACGGGTTAATCCCATTGAGCCTCGTGGACTCATTTACAAGAGAGACCTGATTTCTTAACAAAGAGTGATGACAACAGTGAGTAACAACGACAACAATAGATAATCACAAAAGAGGTATACAAAATTTATTTATTTATTTTAACAAATCAAAACAAAATGGCAACCAAAACTGACAGTCAAAAGGAAATGTAGCGAGAAGAAAAAAACGCTAGATGCTGTAAAAATGCTTTTCTGTAACTTGTCAAATAAAACTAAATGTTCCTGAGATGGACTTTACGTTTATTTGTGTAAAAACTGAAATATTTTAACGTACAGAAGCACAAACTACATGAGACATTAATTCAGAAGTTGGGTTACACAAAAGTCAAATAACTTTTACAATTCACATCAACTGTATTTAAAAAAAAAGGGTCAGAAATTACTTAAAAATTATGCTGTGTGCTTTAA